ATCCTATGATTATTTATCATGGCATTTCTATTCTCTTCTGCAATGTCATGCAGTTTCTTTTGCATGATATTTCAATCTTCTGTACTAATAGTTCCTTTGTATCCATAGTCCTTACCAAAGATACTAAACAAGAGTGGTCTGTGATCAATCCTTGAGAACCTCAATTTATAAACCATTCTTTAGCCTGACAGCTCCCTTTCCAAAACAAACTATTGACATTTTCCTTCAGATAGTTTTCTGGTTGCTTTTCAATTCTTGTACAGTTGTCCATCATTTCCAGCTGAAGTAATTGTATCATATAGCACTGCATCAAATTTTTAAGCAGAGTCTTGTTGCTTATTCATTATCCTCAATGATTTTACCTAAAACAGATAAAAAATTAGTATTCTCAACATTTACAATGGGAAGACAAACCTTAATAATTTGTTAATCCCAAAGGAGATTATGACCCTTGCTTAGAATATCAAAAGTTTTGACATTTTAATGATTTATAATTCATGAAAACATGACAACAAGTTCATTATGAGACAGTTAAAGCAGAAAGTTCTTCCAGCTAATTGGAGACATCTATCCAGAACTGAGTTCTGAGAGGAACAGTCTGTGGTAATCTTAATGGGACAGTACTCAGATGAGTGCAGCAAGCTATACTGGCAGTCTATAGAACTTACTAAACACATACAATAAAAACTCTTGTAATGCACATTTAAAACAAAGACACCTATTAGAGCTAAAATTTTCTATCTGGCTACATGAAAAAGCTGCTTCAGGATGAGATAAGCTGTGAAATTGAAGCACAGTAGTCATTTGGTACTAGCTCCTCAAATGAATGTTTTCATTCTATACCAAGACAGCCCTTTGTGGTTTAGCTTATCCACTTCTAAAGAGAACTGTAATGATTCCCTTACAGCAGACCAAACACATAACTAGTAGAGACCAGCTAATCTGCAAAAACTGTGCCAGCTATTTCCAGAATAGACAAGCCATTACATTTGATGTCATGGTTTAAAAATTCTACAGTGGGAGAAAAAATTCATACTCTATTCTTATGGATTTCTTCCATAGGAATTATCCGTCAGGAAAAAACCTGAATGAGTACCAGAAAAGGAGCACGCAATCACAGGGATAATTGTTACTATGGTTTCCTTATTCAGAATTACCCACTTCAGGTTAGCCTGTAGCTATTCTTGGGTTAAATATTACCCAAGTTAGTAAGGGTAGTGCCACATGTTGGCTAAGGCAGCTGTAGGACTGTTTCTACTTCCAGTGAAATCAATGTAAAACCCCGTTTCTGCAAAGAATTAATCCAAATTCTTTCATTCCCTTATAGATGTGTGCCCACACCACGTGCTGTGTGTACATGTGAAATGTTTCTGTAGTGATCACTTGACAGTAACCCAGGGTTTACAAACAGAAAACTCCTACCCTCCTATACAGAGAATAACAGTACTCGTAACAGTAAATAAACCCACCACTTCTCCTGATAGCAGACATGCTTCCTTCCTGTGACAGGAATTATATCACCGCACTGATGGGAAGAAGAGAAAAGGGATTTTTTTTTTTTTAATGGTTGTTTTATCTATCACTTTCACTGAGGCAGAAATTCTAGACTGATTCACAGATGGAAACCCCAGATGCCATGCAGCAAAGCATTCATCTATGGACAGGAAACAGTATGGGTTTTATAGGCTAGTGTAAAGGTTATGTCACTTATAAGTACATTTTAAAAGACTGCACAAACACCTTCCTTAATATTCAACTGACAAAACTAGCCACACAGAAAAGCCTTTAATCATATTCAGGGTGTACCAGTGAAGTTCTATTTCGATATGCTCCTACAGATTAGCCTTGTTCCTCTAATACCGCCAACATTAAGCGATGTTGTCACCAAGCTGCATAGGAACAGAAGGAAACAGAAAGAAGGAAACATAGTGGCATTTGAAATAAAAGAGAGAATACAAAGGCTACTGCAAATAGCAAATGCAGATGAGAATAGCAGATATTACAGAAGGAGGAGCAGACGACAGTGAAAGGTCGCAGGAAAAAGAACAGAAGGTCTGTAGAGTAGGCTGTTTAAAATGTTTTTAAAAATGTGTATTTTTAGCAAGGTTCTAGATGAGTACATGAAAACGCTTAGAAATGTTCACAGACATACATGTAAAAAACATCAGTGGGAAGGAGCAGAACTCCTGAGGTATAATAGTTGAACTCCGTTATACTCACACTAGCGGAGAAGCTTGTCTCTCTTTCTGTTGATTTTTTTTAATCTCTGGAGGCTAGAATTATCTTTTAAAAATATGATAAATTTAAATCTGACCCAACAATAACCGAAAGACATGACTAGACAAATAGCTGAATTGGACTTAGTCTGCTAACCAGAATTAATACTTTTACCTGTGGGTAAATTTGCACTGAGCATTTTGCTTCTTCAGTAGACTCACAGAAAATACAAAAAGGAAATCCATGTTAACCAAATCTAGACAAACTGTAACCTTCATTGTGAACCTAAGAGGCAAAATCCAGCTTTCTTGGCAACCGTCATCTACATTACGCATCCACAAACAAGACTGCAATTCACAGTACTCCTCACATGAACCACCATCTGAACACAGAAAAGATCTTCCCTATATACCTGCGTCAGAAAATCATGTGAATGTAATAGACACCACAGTCTCAGGGAAGAAGTCAATCTAACTGGAAGCTTTCTGAAGCTAGAAAACATGAAGCGGTATTTTAGCCATAGATAGGTATGAAACATTTTTTGTGATGGTGTAATACCCTGCTGCAAAAGAGGGGTTTGGATTTGAAAACAAACTTTCTGTCGCTTCCTTAACAAATGGGCCTTTTCCTTTCTGTTCTCCTTTCTGGTTCCCTATTCATGTAACAATTATCCCAGGCTCCAGAACATACTTTCGGTTTTGAAACTCTGTAAAACAATATCCCTATGAATATCCCCTGCAAAGAGTGTAATCAGCCTGTATACGTGTCATTTGCTTTGGGATACATAAGCCTGCGCTTTAACAGTTCATTGTCCCTTTCGACCTGTGATTCAGCTCTGACATTAATTTTAGAAACATATCAGAATGTTGGCTTTATCTGGCTTGGGACACTCATTTTGCTCACTTCTTTAACTTGGGGTTCCCAGCTGTCTTTGAACATTAGTCACATGCTATACTGTTCATGAGAGATGCCTTGGTTAATCTGTTACACAGAAGAAAGATGCATCAGGCCCTTTGGAAATAGTGATGGGAAAAACAATGATGCAAGAGATGCAGGAGGAAGAAGCAGCCCAGGCCCTGGAGGGTTCAGAGCCCGCTGTTACTAATGGATATGATGCACAGGCTGGAGCTACACCCTGTGGCTGTGGGAAGGAACTGGTGGCAATGAGTGTCCCTACAGGGCTCCCAGCCCTTCCAAGGAATAGTGGCTTAGCCTTGGAATTAGGTTGCTGTTGCCAGCACACAACGTTGTTGTGATTTCAGCTGTCTTCCCTCGTACACTCTGCACAAACATAGTTAATAAAGTCCAATGCAGAAACGGTGGTCTTACTGGTGAAGAACATACAATACATCTTGGGCTACTGAATGGTAAGCCAGAGCCAGTTTCTAGACAGATGTTTAGAAGAATGTATGTGTAAGAAGGAGCATTTTACACAGGGAACCAGACCTCTTTTAGAAGAAAGCCCCCGTGGGACAAAATCCTTAGGATTCTGGTGGGATGGACTGTCTTGGACAAGGTGATTGACCTTTCCCTTTTTGAGGGTCTGCAGGGCTCCACAGGAGAGATTATACTTTTGCACCAGCCCTGACCTCAACCATTCCCAGGCTCAGGTCAGCCGCACGTACCTAGTTAAGAGCTGTGAGACATCCTCTCTCTCTCCAGCCTAAGCTATAATGACTTTTCCTAGAGTGAATGTTGTTCATTTCCACTGTGCTTCTTCTCCATTAGACTTCTACTCAGCCCGTTACACAGTGGCATCCAGGGACTGAAGAAATGTGGGTGGGTGGATAAACATGCTTAAGATAGCTTCCTCTCTTAAGGGTGACACACACAATCATATCAAGGACATTATCCAAAAAGCATAATGTGAAGTGTCTTGAAAGTTTCATTTTCCTTGGCAGGGACTACAGCACTTTTAATTTGCAGAATGATTCAGTTCTTACAGGTCCATAAGAAACTTTGAAGGCTGCATTTAGGCTGTCAATAGCTTCTGCAAATGGTGAAAATTCTCTTGGGGACAACCTAATGAAAAATTTTAAAGAAGCCAACAGCTCACACCTATTATCTTGAGTTTCTAGCCTAAGACAATGGCATGATAGAAGGCAGAGCTAACTATACAATTTCACCAATTCTACCTTGGCAGTGATCAGCAAAGCATTATTCTACTAAAGGATCTAAAAAAGAAAAAAAAATTAGAAATTTCAGATCATATTCTCATGATAAATACTATGATCCTGGTGAGGGGAGAAATTAACCCCATGAGTTGAAATGAAAAAAATCCAAATGCTGAAGTGAGAGAGTTGGTAAAGGGGTGGAGCTTTTTATTATGCAAAGGTGGTCTCTATCTGGGAAATACTGTGAGAAAAACATGCTTTGCTGAATCCCAGGCTATAGCATTCACATTTCTAGAGCCTGACACTACTAAGAATCTTCAGAGAAAGTAATTTCTCTGTGTATTTCTCACTAACTTCATCATAATTCTTCCTTTTTGTAGGAAGACAATTATGTTTTCTTTAACTTTATCAGACATCTTCAGTGTGGACATGTAGCAAAATGCTTAGCTAAAATCAATTTGTTGTATTCACAGATATCATTTACCAGAAGCAATATGCAAGATGAATGATAAAGATATTTGTTAATTTCCAGTGGATGCATTAAAACATTAAATTTTAAAATCTGCTTTTTAAAACAACATGTAGAACCCGCAAACTCTGTTTTGCTTTTCTTCCACACAGAGAAGACATTCGTCATTAGAAACTGGCCAAGCCATGTTTTAGGATATAAAAACACTCCAAGAACTAATGTCGGCAGGGCTGGGATAATCAAGAAATAAAGACTGGGAAAATTCACACACACTTCAGAAGAGGAACAACTGAAGAGGTGATAAGCAAATAATAAAACAACTGACAGGAAGATTAACATTAGACTTTGGATTTGACCAGTAAAATAAAGATGTTATAAAGACATTGATTATTGAAAAAGGTCGAGGACATCATAAAGATGGGACATTGCTTTTATTAACCAAACCTGTTTAGAGAAAAACAAACAGCAGCCATGATATACATGGATGACAAGTGACAAAGAATTACTGGCAGTGGACGTGTGGGAGAAAGGCATCCCAGCCCAAGGTCGGTACTTTTCCCTGTCTACATTCCATCGCGCAATGGTGGGCTGCACCGCATTTCAGTATTTCTGAATGCAAAACCATGCCTTGAAGATTCTACCAAATAAGAAGTCGCCGTTCAAGTTGTCTTTTTTTCATACTGGTGTTTTCCTGAGATTCAGAAGACTATAACACTTCAACGTGGACAAGAACTGCATGGTCAAGTCCAGCCCTCTTTGATGGAAGACATGCACCATAAGTAGGCAGTTCTTCAAGTCTCCCCTGTTAATGGCACTTTCACACATCGCATTTAAAGGTGATCAAGGAGAGGTCTCATCTTGGCAGGCAGCTGGAGAGTGCGTCAGGCCTTGGTACGGTCACAAAGTTCATGGTGCAGTGCAATAGTGGACAGATCTTTTCATGATCCTTCAACACTTCACTCAAGTGTTTCATTTCATCTGTTAGCTTTCCGATTTCTCTTTTCAGGGAGGTATTTTCTTGCTCAAGAGACTCATATTCCTGGAAGGAGAGGGAAAAAAAAAAAGCCTACTCATAGTCAAAACACTCCTTTCAGTGCTTCCACCTTGAGTATATTCATGTAACTGTAGAAAAGCTGCATGGTTTCTCACTACAATGTGCAAAATGCTAAGGAAAGATAGACAGCCTGGGTGCTGGAACAGGGCAAGTGCTTTACAACCTGTGCCCTGACCATACTGTGATTCCTTTCATGGCCCTGAAGACCAGGAGGTGCTGCTGGTCCTCGGGAGTCCCCAGTAGCCCAGGACTGCAGGAGTAGACAGCTGCGTTCCATGGTGGCCTCTTCCAGCCCTGGGCTGCCTCTGCTGGGAAGGGCCAAGCAGGGCGGCTCTGCACTGACAGAGCAGAGCAAATGAAAGCACCAACTGCAGGTAGTGCTTGGCATTACCAGCGAGGAAAGGGCAAGGGCAGTGTCTGCCCCAGGCCAGTGCGGGGAAGGGCCATTTACCCAGGTGCCCGCTGAGATGCACACCAAGCACAGCACATCCAGTGCCAGCCACTCTCCTCCAGGCCGGCCAGGGTTTGTAGCCACCTGCTCAGATGCCCAGGAGCTCTAGAGCAGGAGGAGGGGAGTGTCATGCCAACTTGTTCCCAGCCCCACTTTGTCACCAGAAGGCCTGACCACTGCCTTGGTTATCCCTTACCTGGGTTGCTTTTGAGCTAAGGCTTCTCTGGCAATGAATAAGCTGCTATTAATTGCAGGGGAGTTTTGAGATGCTCTGCAGCATACGTCTGTGACGGATGTGAGACTCGTGTGTCACATTTTTTGATAACTGCATGTCTCAAGTGTCCCTGCTGTCAAGCCTTCTCATCCCAAAGAGGAGAGCTCTAGAGGTTCAGAGACAGCCCACGGAAAACCTGCAGGTGTCTGCACCTCGCTGCCGGCCTAGGGCTCAACACTCACCCACTCAATCTCACCTCCCTGGGAAAGCTGCAGAGCAAACTACCAAGCCTACACATGCCTTAAAAGGCCTGTTTACCAGGCAGCAGGGAGAGCCTCTCATGCAATGCTCCTCTGGGCAGCCTGGGACTGCCTCTGTTGCCCTTTGCTGTAGGAGTTTGGATCCCCTTGCCCTCCCTCACACCCTTCCACCACTCACCACCTCTCTCGTGCACAGAGTAAAATAGGCACAGTCCTCCTAACAAATTATGGTCCAGCTCCAGAAAAGTTGTCCATCTCTGCCTCTGCTCACCCCTTGTTGCTCCAAACACCACAGGGTTGAGTTCTGAAGTGTTACTCTCCCATTGCTCTGTCTCATTTTTAGGGATGAGACTATCAAATTGCTCTTGCTAAGAATGAATTCTTATTCATCTGGCTCTGCCTATACCTGGGAAAGCCAGCCTGCCCAAGTATGTAGATGTCCAGCATGAGGAAGATCCTCAAGTTCAGGAGGAACATCAGAGAGGCTGCAGGAAGGCACAGGGCCCAGAAATTATTCCATAAAAGCCAGGGGTTACCCCTTTCCAGAAGTACCCTGCACCTGGCTTTCTCAGGCGCTGACTCAGAGTAGAACTGGGAAAAACCAAACCCAAAACTCCCCACACTGTCCCTCTCTTGGCCTCTGCTGACTGTCGGCAGATCCTTCCACACTGAGAAAGAGGAGAGCCTGTGCTGAACAACTGGCTGGCTCAGCCACAATCACAGCAGCAGAACTAACATTTACCCCAAGAGCCGTGGCTACAACAAAAGCACTGTTGTGTGAGGTAACAGCCTAAACCAGAGAAAGGGGATTCCTGTCCTCCAGCATTTGCACTGGGGACCAGAGAAAACTACACCACATTGTGATATTGAGAAGAACTATTAAGAGTTTCTGGAAGAATCGGTTACTTTCATGTTTTTTTGGAAACACCCACTGTTATTTATCAGAGCATACAAGTATAACAGCTAACTGAACTGAGGTTTTGAAGTTCCTAAGAAGCCTTTTCAGCTGGGTATTTCTGTCTCACACCATAGTTTTAAAACTGACTTAAGCCAGCACCGCCACTAAGCAGCATGGTCCCCTCCTCCTCCATCGCCTCCTCCCTCGTAAGGCAGCGAGCATTCATCCACTGCCACAGCAAACGTGACAAGCTTAACACTAATCCAGAAGAAAATGGATTTGGTTTAGCCCAGAGGAGCCTCGTGGTCCGGTTCACTGGGTGGTCACGAGAATAGCAAAAGAGGGAGGGTGAGGCAAGGGCAGGACCACGTCCCTCTCTCCCTGGCAGGGACACCGATGGCAGAGCTGCACTGTCCACCGTGAGCATCAGTGTCTGGGAGTTCCCGGGCAGGCACCCCACAGCACGCCTGCCTCTGCCACACACCCACAGCTTTCTGAGCTGGACTAGCGTGGAGCCAGGCCCACGCCTGCCAAAAAACACCCTGTCATTGTAAAGTCCCGCGCCAGGTACCCAAGCCGTGCCTGCGAAACATCAAGTACCATTCACCTCGTGAAGTTTATCTGCTTTCTGAGTTTGCTTCTTCCGGCTCCTCTGTGCAGCAACTCGATTTTTTTCTCTCCTCCTTACCTTCCTGTCATCTTCTTCGTGACTCTGGAAGACATAAGCCAGAAACACCTCGCTAGTTTTTAAGGTGCACGCGGTAGGCGCCTGAAGCCAGGCTGCGACTGTTTCTCAGAAGGAGCACATACTCCCTCCCAGTTTCACAGCACCTACCCCCGGCCCCGCCAAACCGCGCGGTGCCTGCAAAGGGCGGCGCATCCCCCCGCCACACCGCACAGGTGGGGCCCGAGGCGGAGCGGTGGAAGCGGGCAGAGGCCCAGGGATGCCGCGGAGATGCCCCGCTGATAGCGGAGCCTGGGCACCCCCGCCGGGGACCCGACGAGCAGCGTTTTACACC